TAACTTTGGCATGGGTCCCGGGCCACAAAGGGATAACAGGAAACGAGATAGCGGACCAACTGGCAAGGCCTGGGGCGTCAAATGATGACCAGGCCATGATAGTGGGAGTCCCTTTCGCGACCGGAATATCTCGAATTAAAAATAAACTTCGGAACGTTCGTTCCGAATTCGGTGTTCACCAAGGGCAATGGGAGCAGATCACAACCTGCAGAAAATCCAAAGCCCTCATGCCAACCCTAAACAAGAAAAGGGCAGGAAAACTACTCAACATGAAAAAAGAGGAACTGAGCACTACAATCAGGCTCCTCACTGGACATGGTAAGTTTAGGACACACTGCAAAAACATGGGCATCGAAAGCGATGCCCGCTGCAGACTATGCCTTGAGGCAGACGAGGACAGCCGGCATATACTTTGTAGCTGCCCTGCACTGGCTACAACAAGGCTAAATTACTGGGGAACCACCTTCCCTAGCATCAGCTATGTAGCGGATCTAGACGCCGGGAATCTATTAAAACTGGTGAGAAAAGCTGGCCTAGAATTATAGGGATCGGAAGGACAACGGAGCCACAATAGCCCAGTAGGGGTTCGGTGACAAGAGGGCAGCAAATGCCTATCCGTATTTTTAACCATAACCATAACCATAACTTTTTTTTATTTTCATTTTTTTCCGTATTCTCGTAATGTTAATGAATAACTAATAAAAAATGTATAAGAAAAATTTCAACTGCCTATTCTTTATGACACTTTAAAAATTACCGCAAATTCATTCCTGTAGACTAGAAGGTCACCTTAATAATCATTGTGTACTTCATTACTTAGTCCCACCTAATAGGCCACAGTAAGTGAGATTTATAAGATCCTTTCTTCTCCGGACACTACCTGTCGTGACTAGTTACGGTCAACTCCCTTCAAGGGTTCACCTTTCATTCGATAGTTCGACCTACCTAGTGATCCAGTGTCCGTAACAGTGGTACCATTTTCAAACTACGTCTTATGAGCTCTATGGCATAGCTTACACTGACTTTGATATCTTCACACCTAGTAAAAATCACAGTCAATTAATCAGGCAATAAATTAAAACAGGTGCAGAGAAATTATGCGATAATTCTTTCTCGTTTGTTAGTTTTTTATTAAAACTTTACAGATCGTACAGAAATCTATATGAAGTTAACACAAACATTTCTATCGTCGTTTATTATTACAGCAAAAACTGTCAATTAATTCCACATTTAAGAATCATGTGTAGGGTATATTTTTTTCTTTCGTAGTGAAGGTAAGGCATGTTAAAATTTCTGACTGGTTTTTACTTCTCGTGTCCACTTTTGGGAAAGAAAACATAATAAGTATAAGGATTGAGATAATTTTTCTACGTATATTGTTCGCTAATTGGCTGAACTCCAGCGTGTGGTGAGCGATTGATTTGCAAATTTTTTCCATTTCATAATAGCCAACTAAAGATATTATTGCATGAAATAACGAAATATTTTTGTAATCTGTTTCCAGAAATTTGCAGGTATCAGCTTGGTAACATCGGCAATCACAACGCAATGTGAGTAATCCGCAATCAGATTATACTACTAACGGAATAATCATCAGATATTGGTGAAGAATTTTCTGCAACGGAACGGAATGTCATGGGACACAATATCTCACCAAGTCGGTTGAAAATACGTTATTTCTTTAATCTCTTATAAAATAAAATAGGCAATTAAATAGAATAGAATCAGTAACATGAACCAACTCGTGAAATTATGATTAGAAATTTTGTTATTAATTTGTACGTCTGACTATTGCCACATTTGACCTGAATATTTCATATTTTATTTCTACTGTCTCGACGAAGAAATCGGTTTTGATGCTTGTCACATAAATTTTGTGTCCGTTTTACTTTACCAGGTAGGCACCAGGTAGGTATTTACTTTGCCAGAGGACCAGCTAGAAATGTCGTATATTCAACGAACTTAGTGAGACAATGGTTATCCACCTCATTTCCATTATAATAAATTTAGTGGTGCTGAAGTGGATGAGGGTGACCGTTTCTTTTGCGCCTCGGTCATCATATTCACCATCTAAAAGAACCATGTGCATGTACCATTTCAAGAATTTCCATTAAAAAATTATATTTAATATTTCTCTCTGTATTGACTTGACATGCAGAAAAGCAGCGTAATTGAGTTCGCTGCGCCAAGCACAAGGGCAAGTGTTTATCCTGATTGATGGTGATAGTTATTACCCCACAGGCTCTTCGTTCCGTCGCCCTTAGTCAAGCACTGTTTTTCAACAGTCTCTTTTCGTGGAGTTCTCAGGTTATATGCAAGTCCTAACTTTGCCATTGTTTCTATGAATGCACAAGAACCATTCAAAAAATAAGCACCCAATTCAGATGCTTTATAATCCCAAGGAAATGCATGATGGTAATTATGCCAGCCTTCGCCCAAGGTAAAAACGGATACTGTTGGGTTTTCTGTAGGTTTCACCTTGCTGAAATGAAAGATTCATGATTATTGAAATGACAAATGACGGAGAGAATGTAATTTTAATCTGACAGAATATGAAAAATTTCTAAGCTATCTTTCATTAATTCATGGATGATTTGGGGCTGCTAATTCTCCAAACTGGCCGTCCTTCGTTTTTTGCCCAATGGTTATTTAATATGGCCTGGACCCCATGAAATAGTCATTGATTAGAAGTTTAAAAGGTTAGATCTCATCACTCTACCCAGCCGGAATTTGAACTCGAAACCTGTCGCAATAACGATACTTACGGCATCGACCTACCCGGGGACTGGAGATGCCGGTATTGCACGGCGTGTCCCATTTGAAACAGAGGACTCAATGATCCCATTTGAAAGAAACTCATAGAGCGCCGCCCCAGAAGTGAGGTTGCTGAGGTTAACTACGCTTAAAGGGCAGCGGTGAGAAAGCAAGGAACAATTGAAAGCAAATATATACAATTTTTCGGTGAATTCTGAAAGTTGGGGGCTTCACATCTTATACTGGCAATTCTGCTAAATAAAGTTGACTTTGCATTGTTATTTTATGATACAATATTTATAGTAATTTGTAACACTTTTCCTGACCTCGTCTCGAAGATCGAAGATAGTTAGTACCTTCTGCCGTTCCCCTGCTGGCATCTTAAAATTATAGACGATTTAATGGGTGCCAGCTAGCTTTTTGTGGACCAAAAGATAACAAAATCCAAAAGAACCAAAGGAGCATAAGCTGGTACGATGCCCTCCTGTCCGCGAGATCGGTAAACTTCACGCAAACATAGAGTACTCGTAAGAAAGAGCATGAAGAGACTGGCCACTCGTCCTCGCGACAGAACACAATCCAAAAATCCGAAAACCGTGAAATCCTTAAATCTAATATTCTGAATACCGAACCTACCCACGAGAGGCGAAAGCCGCTGACGAATGGAACGGAAGCGGGAAGGCCAAGGGCCAGGTTGCTCGATACTACCCGGTCTCGAGATGATCGAAACGACCTGAAGAACTATTTCGCCCATTGCGCGATATAACATAGCAGAGTGCCGGGAAAGCGAGAGCGCGAGAACTTACCGATGCACACACCGTCGAGCATATGATGGGCTTACTAGGATAGCCCCAAATATAGAGAGCATCGCCAGACACAATATGGCTCCCCCACAGGGAACGCCGCCCTAAGAGATTATTGCTCACACTCAAAGAGCGTAATCAGGGAGAATGAAACCCTCGCCTAGAGAACGTAAGACCAATGCGAGGCATCGGGAACCTACTAAAAGCTCACGAGAGGTGATAGTGGTCCGCACTGGGAGCCAGCCAAAGGGGCTCTCCCCAGTGAGTGGGCAATGTCAGCAGTAGTTCTGATGCCCATCACTCTTGACTACGGCTGGAGAGGCTGCCGTCTGCCGGGACTCACTCACTGTCGGGCCCTCACTGTATCGTAGATATCCCCGAGATAAGCTTCTCCTGTAGCCCGCCGAATTTAAACACCGCCACTAAACTCTTAAAATAACGCCGTTGAAGGGTCAGTCGTTTGAATGCCTCCCCCGTCTAACATGGAGCGCTCATACGTCGGTATGAGACCCATGCGTAATGCGGGCAAGTCTTACAGGTGGCGCGGAAATACAGAGTGTTTCCTCGTATCTGCCCTATGATGTTGCCTGTTCGCAGGCCTCCTCACAGCTTAAGCACTCGGGCCCCAGTCCTCACACTCTCCAGCGATGCAAGAAATTCCCGGAGGAGGGTTGAGATAGCAGACGTAATAGAGAACTTACTTCAAGAGATTCAAAAATTGAGTTTAATGTACAAGCTTTCCTAATATCCCGTTACAAATTCGGTATCCACTTGAAAAACATAATGGCTTCGAATTTTCTTACTGGAAATACCGCAATATTTTGTTTCAGACAAAACGTCAGGAGTTAGAAGCTTCCGGATGAAAATTTCAAGGAACATGTAGAGATTGGTATTCCAATCGAGTAGAAAAACGAAACCCCCAAACAAGGGACAAGATTCAAAAAATTTATTTGACATGCAAATATGCAATTTAGATGAAATGTGTTTCAATTCTAATAAACAATTCTAATAAACTTGAATAATAAAACTATGTCAATCTATCTATTTCAATCCCAATAAAACTATATTTTGTTTTTATTCAGGACGCGAGGTATATTGTGTATCGTTTGAACATTGTAATTATTTTTTAGTTTTGATTAATCGATCGATTGTTTTATCTCTCGACTATCATTCAAGGGAATCGTAAATGTAACATTGTTTTGTCATTGTCATGGATTAGAAAGTCTATCACCATTTATTGAATCCAAGATAGCAACTGATAATGTGCAGACACTTATAGCTACGCGCGCCTTTAAAGCGTTAGTCCAATATATGAAAAGCGTAAGGGACTTATTCGGTTTTCTACCCAATTTTTATCCACTCGCACACACACACACTCAACACACATGACCCACTCACCTGTTTCACTCGCTCGCCTCAGATGACGCCTCTTACCTATGATACCTGAGGCACCACTTGATGGAAAACTGTAATTGATCATCACGATGATCCACACCTTCCACCTTGCGGCTTATCACTCTCTCTCATTCGCATATCGACCATCGTGAGAGTGTTTACGGGTTTTTCTTCGAATTTCTCTTTTGTTGTATTAATTGACCGGCTCATCATTAGTACTTTTCGGCAATACCTTTTCAATTCTTGGAATTATATACTGTTCTCGCAAATTGGGGTGTTATTAGTGACTTTTTACTCATTAAATTGACTTCTTTGACCGACGTCACGCAAGTGATTATTTGATCCTCTAACGCATTATCCCGTAATCCGTTAATATCTCGTCCATCGACTAAAAATATCTCCACAACCAGATCCCGAATCGAACAGGGCTTTTGATTTGTTTTCTACTTTAACTAATTGATTCTCGGGCAATACTCGATTATTATTCAATGATCGATTTTAATCTTCAGGATTGTCCGGAGAAATGCAGAAGAGACGATTTTATATATATTTTTTTTTAATATAGCAGAAAGCGAGTAAATTTTCTCAGTTAATTTTCATCGCTGAATTCATATTCAACTGATTTTTTAAGGAGATTTAAAGAAGAAAAAATATACTGTTTTTGCTGTGATGTCGGTGATTGAATCATTGGCAATCATCATTTGACAATTGAGTACAATTTGACCAGATAGTATTGGATCGAATAATTTGCAGTGGATTATAGTCAAAATTCATTGTAATCTAAGTGAGTAGCGAAATGCGATGATTTGCCGCGATTATCGGCAAATTTCTTTTTTTGCGGAAGCTTTTCGTATCACTGTTATATGAATAAACAATTAATAATGAACAAGAACTATTACATCAAATTTTTAGAGCTCGCTACAAACTTCAAGATTAGGCTCTGACAGCCGAAATTGTCTATCCATACTAAATCCGCGGTTCAGTCATTCAAATTCGGGAAGGCATCAGGACCAGGTGCGATCTACTCAGCATTACTGCAGAGGGGGAATAGATATCATTCTCGACCTCCACACAGCAATATTTGGATGTAGCTTAGCACTGAAAATGGCAACGCAGTAATGGGAGCCGAGACCGAATCTGACTTGATTACCCCTTAGGACACGAAGAAGATCAATGGATAATTTGATGAAAAAGTAATCGCAGGTGGACAAGCCTCCTTCCCCCCCGCAATATACCGCGAATTGGGACGGGCAAAGGGTGAGGTGGAAATAGAGAAAGACGACTACGAGATCCATATTTTGTTCAATATGCCATGCTCGACATGCCGTCATAATCAAATCCATTGAAAGGGAGCACTTTCCAGCTTCTTCCACAGACTAGACCCAAAAGATATCGATGAGCAGGTGACTGTTACTCATGTCAGGCTACAAATAGAAAGTAGGTGTCCGCAGAGTAGAGAATTGTCTGTGCCATTGTGGCGCCATGTGGTGAACACGCTTCTGGAGAGACTGAGCGAATAGGAGTTTCAAGTGTACGGCTACGACCATCAGCCTAAAACTATTTAAAAATTGAATATTTTGGAATGACAATCGGTCAAATCGATTGTAATTTGATTGTAGTGGCGATATCAATCGGTTTCATAGTTTGTAGCGATGTCATTAGTCAATTATTAATTAAAAACCAAAAGGGCGAGCTGTAGCAGTGGTGGGGGGCGCAAAAAAAAAGTAGATTGCCAAAGTAAGGATGGGGACGAACGTTTTGACTGATTTCATTGCATTATAAATTTATCGAATTACATTTTTCAGAAGTCAATCAAATCAATCAATAATTAATTAATCCTTTATTCCGAAGAGATAGCACAATGTGAACACCAAAAATAGTTGAGTTATACAAGCTAAATTAAATAGTTCAGAGCTATCGTGTCCAGATCACAGGCGGGAGACTTTGGTTCAAGACTCTCTGCTGACTAGTTTTTCTTTCTTTATGATCTACATAATTAGGTGTCTAACAATCAATCTCCGGGTAGGCAACCTTTTATCATTAATAATGTTGCTACTTGAGACTTCACAATAATTAAATAAGTAGTGGAATTTGAATTTTTTTGAAGTCCGTACACCAACAGATCATTCGCCGGTAAGTTGTCTTACCTACTCTAGATAACTTCAGAACTCTGTTGTTCATCTCAATCGTTTGTGTAATTGGCAGAACACTCAATCATTTTCGAGCAGAGTGCATTTGGAGCAACTAATAACTTATTAATCATTCCGTCATTACATGATCATTTCGGTGTAATAAGAAGTGTACGTGAACCGTTTATGTTACATCGAAGTACTCACATACGTCATGGACATGTAAGTATACGTAATATTCCTTTCAATTACTGCTTCTCAGTGTTTTTCTGTATAACAACGAATTCGGAATATCAAAACATGTTAAGAGCACTTTCAACGGTATAAACTGTGACGAGGCAATTAATTGCATCCCTCCCCCTGCCCCTAATGAATATAAAATAAGCCAGAGTAAGGTAGCA